AAAGAAAGAAAGAAAGAAAGAAAGAAAGAAAGAAAGAAAGAAAGAAAAGGACCATATGTGTGCATGCATGGGAAAGAAACACTAAAAAGGGAAATAGTTTCAGTGCAGCTTCACTTCAGTTGGGAAAACACATTTAAGTTTCCCTTGTGGTTATGCCCAAGTTACTTAGAGTATCAAATTTTGCCAACATTGGCATTTACATTTTGAAAAGAGCTACTTATTGAATTGAATTGAAAACTACTCCATTCCTAATATAGTTATAATAGAATCTTGAGATTTTAGAAAGCCAGTGATTAAAGAGTAGGGGGAAGAGTTGTGGCAGAATGCAAACAAGAAGGAGAGAAGGTAGTAATGCCCGCACCCCCAGTGGCCTTTGGGAATAGATTGGAAGATCAGAAGAAAATGCACAATAACTCATATTTTGCTTGTAAATCTTCTCCTCTGACTTCTACACTGTTCTTCCTCACAAATTTTAAATGCGTTCATCAGCTAAGTGCCATCTCTTTTACCTGTCTCGGAGGCTTCGTGTTTTGGCTTGAATTATTCCTAAATCCCACAGTGCTGGGATTTTGCGAGAATCACACTGCTTGTGCCCGTATACTTCAATAGCTAGGGCACCATCAGAAAGATATTCCATAAAATCTTCAGTGATATTGACAGAGAGTTCCTGGTCAGAAAAGGATTAAAATAATAATGCATCGTTCACTTCCTTCCCAACTATTGCAACATATAGACGCTAAAATAAGGGAGCAAACATGTTAGCATACATTAGTCCCAACAGGATACCTGAACTGGAACAGTCAACAGCTGAGATCTGCAACTTTTACAGAAAGCTTAAATCACTATGATAAATGGAGTACCAGAAGGATCCAGAGAGCAATTTAGAAAGCTTTATGCTTGGAATCCTGAAGTAAACCACAGGGGGAAACATAGCAAAATTAATGGATGGAATTTGCTGTCCTACTTTTGGAGATTTATTATTGCTTTTCATTATGATGAATTCATTTCTCTCTTCAATGTGATGTTGCCTGATTGTACAGCTTCGACAGGCAATTAACCAGCAGTCTTTTGGAAAAATTATACATGCATATTGAAAGCTCCAAGTTGT